GCGATAACCTAACCAACGTAGACACCTGTATTTTTCACTAAAATGCACGTTGGTTCTGGATTAACAATATATTTAATAATAATTTTAAATATATATATATATATATTTAAAAAAAATTAATGTAAGATTGGTATCTTTGAACAAATTACAATTTAAAAATTAAATAATTCAAACGTTAATTATTTAAAAAAAAAAATTAACTTTCTTTAACATTTTTAATTTAATTGCTCAAAAATCAAATAAATAAAAACTTCCAAAATTTAATAGTAAAATTGTAATTTAACTTACAAAATAATATAAAATGTAAAATACTAAATAATTTTATATAATAATAGTAATTCATTTTGTGGTAATTTGTTGTGAGACCAATAAGTCAAGAAATCAACCTTTGACTAAACAAACTTCTAACGGTACAAACAAAAGAGAATGTTCCATTTCTTATCACCATCGTGGGCTTTATTCCATAAAGTGAAATACCCAAAATACCCTCCAAATTATACTTCCAAATCAGTCCATGTTTTCGGAAGTATTACAGCCAAAACCACAAACTTCAGTCCCTTTTTGAATCACATCGCGACTGAAGCCTCTTTCTTCCATGTATGATCAACATGAATGAACGATTCCGAGTCTTAACGGCCGTGGCTGCTCGGGCCATAATCACCGGTCCGTTGGACTTATAGTTTGGGTTTGAATACTAAAAATTAAATTATTATTTTATCATTGACAAAGAGTAGAATATAGTTATATAGTTATGCATACATTAATAAATGCTTTTTAAATTTTATAAATAAAACAAACTTAACGTCACATCAAAAGTGTTACGAGAAGAGTAATAATAGTTATAAAATAGCATATTGTTTTCATAGGCCCAAAAAATTTCAACCAATTTTGGTGCAGTCAGTAAGCTTAAACGACACCGTCATATTGTCAATATCATACCCAACCAAAAAATTCGACATCATACTATTCCCGATGAGTGCGTCCTTGTCGTCAACGCCCATTGCGTTGAAGCAAAAGGACCCATCCGGCATCTTATTGAAAGTCTGAGTCGTACTCAATCGGAGATCCACACGGCCATCGAAGTGCAAAGTCATCACCAAATTCCCCAAATTACCTTTGTAGCAAAGAGTATCGTCAATGGGCTTCGACGGGATATGTCGTCGAACTTCAGCAGCCAATCGTCCGTACAATTCTTTGGGAAGGAGAGTTGGCGGCGTGCCGGTATCGAGAACTGCGTTCCCCTTGGCCGGAGGTCCCGACGTACTGTACGGAACGAAGGTTTTTCCGACGGAGATTCCCTTGAGGGTGAGAGAGTAAGATGTCTGGTCGGATGTTCGAACGAGTTGGGCTGTGATGACTCCAGGTCCTTTAACTTCAGAACCCGACTGCATCAGACAAAGGGAGAACTTTCTGCCGCCGACCAAGGGACCTATATGTGAATATGAATTTACATTAACTATAAGGTTTTGAACTTTATAGTTATTTAAATAAGGATATAATTAACGGTAAGTTTCAATATTTAATACGAATAATGTTTTTTAAAATAATAATAATAATTGAAAGTGATAATATATATATATATATATATATATATATATATATATATACCTGAGAGACGAAGAAACCGCCCCTCTTCCGAATCCGATCAATCCCATTTCATTCGGATTAAACGTTCCACTGTTATTATGTCCGCAACCAAACACCACACCTAGAAACGGCGTCGTCGCTCCAGACCTCGAAGTTACAACCATTTTTTCAGTCGCCAATTCTCCCTGCGTAGATCCGCTTCCATACCCATAGCCGTACTTACAGGTGTCAGTGCCGGAGCACGCCGCACCGGACCCCCTCAAATGGCACTGCGGCGACTTGCAAGAAAGGGTTCGAAAGGTTGACGATTTCGAAGGGTCGTAAATCGGATTTGTTTGCTGATAACATTTCGCACATGGACGACACTGAGCCAAAATAAATCGCTGCCAGTGTCGAGGATTGCATGCACCTCCGTCGGCGGCGTTCCGACGGCGATTTTCACTATAAATTCGCTGGTTTCCGACCAAATTTGTGATTTGGCTACCATAGGTGAAACGTTGCCGAGTGAGAGACTATGGCGAATGAGTTCCAGCTTGAGACCACCGCCTTCGCTGGCGGTGAACTCGGCGATGGAAAGTAGTGCGAGAAGGAGAAATATGATATGCGCCATGGGAAATGAAGAAATAATTGCATGGATTTTAAATTTCTTTTTATTTATATAGATAATGACGTGACAGGATGGCGGTGTTTTGGTAACGTTCACTGTTTTTTTAATATAAAAATAGAATGTTATTTAAGTATTTATTTAGTTATTTCTATTTACTCATTTTCATATTTCCAACCATTTATTAAATCTAGTTTTAATCTAACTAAGGTAAACAAAAATATTTAATTATAATCAGAAGTATATTTCTTATTCTATTTTAATAATTATCTTTAAATAAATAATATAAAACTAGGTAAACTTTTAAAATTAAGTAATTTAAAAAAAAATAGTATTTGATTACAAAGAGTAAGATTATTAAAAATAAAATCTTTTATTTAATTTAATGAATTAAAAAAAATTTAAGATATTGCTGGATAATTAATTAACAATTTATAATCACTTACATTTATTTATTTTATTAATTATAAATTAAATTTGAATCTAAATAATGTAAAGAAAAATATTTAATTATTATAATATTTATAATTCTATTTTAATAATTATATTGGAATAAATGAATTAAATTATATAAACTTTTATATTTAACTCATATATGTAATTAATTAATTAATGCTTGTTATTATTAATCATACCTTTAATTCTATAAAGGAAAATACTTTAATAAACGGTTTAAAAAAACATAAAATAAAAGAACAGAATAATAACACTATTCAATAATAAATAAATAAAACTTAAAATTCTTTCAAAAAGGATTTCTTACAATATTCAATATTTCAATATGACAAGAATAATGACACTATTTCTCAATACTTAATTTAATTTATTTAATATATATATATATATATATATATATATTTGTCAATAACCAAGAACAATATCACCATTTTTGTTCAATAAGATACCAAAGTGGATGATTGATTCATTCCATACGAGAAATAATCGCAGGAAATCCTTTAATAACACGGATTCCTATTTCTCAATGATATCCCACGATCAAGACAATTGGCTAAATCCCGTGAAACCATTTCATAGAAGTTCATTGATATCTTTTTTTTATAAAGCAACTCGACTTTGATTCTTGAATAATCCACCTCACTTCTGCTTCGATTGTAACAAAAGATTCCATTTTTATGTGGATTATGTGAAAAAGGCCCATATCAATAATTATGATTTTACGTATGGACAATTCCTCAATATCTTATTCATTCGCAACAAAATATTTTCTTTGTGCGGCGGTAAAAAAAAACATGTTTTTTTTGGAGAGAGATACTATTTCACCAATCGAGTCACAGGTATCTAATATATTCATACCTAAGGATTTTCCACAAAGTGGGAACGAAAGGTATAACTTGTACAAATCTTTCCATTTTCCAATTCGATCCGATCCATTCGTTGAAGGTTAAAATTTTCATGTTCCATTTTGTTGTAAGAGAGACCCACTTTTTTTTTTTTTCCTTTTTTTTTTCATATGAGATCAAATTAAATAGATTGAAGTGGTTGTAAATTGGGTCGAGTTTTCAATAGGAACGAGTATATGCTAATTATTATGAATTATTATTATTATTTTTTTTTTTTAGATTATGTATTCAATTTAATTTTTCATTCCCTAGCATACATTTTATAATGTCGTGTCAGGATATATGCGCACAACAGCCACGCATTACGTAGTTTGGGAAATAAATAATAATAATAATAATAATAATTTTTTTTTAAAAAAAGTCTCCCTTGTGGAAATAAATTTACTGAAAATTATTATTAATTTATAATAAATAAATAAATAAAAAGAACTAGTAATGACTGATTTTTAAGTTAATTTGAACAAAATTACTTAATCCGTGTTGAAAATTTATTGTGTTATGTAGCCCATTTTTTCGGCCCATTTTTCGGCCCATTACGTAGTTTGGGCCTTCCATCTCTCTCACCATTTTCTTCTTTCTTTTTAATAAATACCTTTGACTTGCTATAGTTCGATTCATAGGATCTATTATTTAAATTGTTATTTTCTAAAACAATAATCAATAATCATTAAAAGTTTCAAGAATATTCCTAAACTTAAAAAGAGAAAACTCTCAAATATATAAATTAAAAAAAAAAAAAACCTTACACTTAATTTTGATTAAACCGTTTATACTTTATATTAAAATATGTATGAACTTTGAATTATTAAAAGTTTCTTTATTATTCTAATACATTTTAAAAATAATATAAAAAAGTTTAGAAATAATTTAGATAGATAACTGTATTTATTTATTTATTTATATATAAGTGTAAAGTGTATAAATGTTATTCAAAATACATTATAACGAATTTCTTACCCATGTGAAACAATATTATAAATAAATTAAAGTAAACAACTGTATTTAATATTTATATTCACTTTTTTTAAGAAATGGAAAAATTAATAATTAATTTAAACACTAATTTATAGCTAATGAAATAATGACTTAAATATTCGACGTTCAAAAGTTCCAAATCTTTTCACGTGACTTTGTTTTGGGATGAAAAGACGGGAACCGTTAAATGACGGTAGTTGGTGGTGTTGGACCGGAGAAAATGAATGACTTAACAGCTTTGGAAAAGAAAAAGAAAAAAAAACAAACAGAATATGCTATTTCAAAAAAGAAATATGCTGTACTCGAACAAAAAAAGAAAAAGAAAAAGAAAAAATGAAACGACCGTGAATAAACTTCTGCCACGTGGTCCAATAGAAAACGAAAGGGAAAATTTCGTACGTGAGATGAAACTGAAAGTGGGTGTGGACGGACGGAGAAGGCAATTTGCGTTGAGAGCTTTTGTCGGCTTTTGGCGGGTATGATACGACGCCGTACTGGCGAACTATAAAACAAGGATTTGCTGCTCCAGATTAGAATCAAGAATCAAAAGCAATTAATCGCCGTTTTTCTTCTTCATTCTCTCTCTGTTTAAGCCTGAATTGTATGGCCGCCAATTCGAGGAGCGCAGGAGCGATCGCCGGCTTGGGAAAACGAATCACAAACCAGATCTGTACCAGCGATTCTGCGATCTCCTCCTCTGCTCTGAAGTTCAGGTCCTTTTTCTTCTTTTTCTTCTTCTGTGAATATTCATCTGGCAATATGCTATAAGTTTAGGTCCTATTGCTTCGTTGTGTTGATATTCTCTGCTAGTTGTTTGATTGCATTCTTGTTGAAATTTTCTATAAGAAAGTCGACTGTCGATCCATTTCTTCTTCTTCACGCTGAATGCTTTTTTGAACAACTTCGTATTGACGCAGTATGATAAACGTCAGTTTCAGGTCCTCTTCTTTCATGTGCTCTTTTTTTGATCATATACTTTACTCGGTTCCTTTTGATTTCGGTTTTGTCTTCTTTTAGGAGTCTAATTCGAATTCAGCTCTTCCTGCCATATATAGTATTATGACTAACTCAACTAGAAAATTTGAAATTACGTTTCCTTCACTCTATGTTGCTTTTTTCCTCTCTTCCTCTTTGTTTTTGGTTTCATTTGGTGGATTTTCGCTTTCCTTCACTCTATTTTTCTTTTTTCCTCTCTTCCTCTTTGTTTTTGGTTCAATTTTGTGGATGCTATGTCAATTTTATTATTCAGTGTTTGTTCTATCACGCTGTAAATAACTCATAAGTAGAGATACTGCTTTCTGTTGAACCGGACTTGGAATTAGAGAGGTTTAATTCGTATTCTTTGGAATCTTTGTTGAAATTTGAGTAAATCACGCCTATTTCATATATATATTTAATAAAAAAAGCTCTTAAGCCATTGTTTAGGTTGATTTTAGATATATGAAATCAGTAAATCCAGAAGTCGTGAATATTTGATTGAGGACATGACCTAAATTTATAATATCATTTACAATTAAGTAACTGATTTATTTTTTAATATATTAAATAATCCATTGTTTAATAAATCTTATAATTTTTTTTAATATCTTAATAAATAAATAATTGAGTACAATATATTTAATACATTTTAACTTTAATCTTAAGTTTAATTATAGCAAAATATGATCGATTGATCATCTTGAATGTTTTAGCATTTAATTTATTATAATTAATATTATTAAAAAATTTCAGACCATAAATCATCTTTCCTTTTTTTTTTTTTTTCTTCGTTTCAGAATGAATATTCAAATCCCATACCTGCCATTTAATTGAGGGGTCTATAAAACAAAAATTTTAAAATTTAATAACACAGTTCTTAATTATGAGTTCAAATAAATAAAATTAAAGGTTTATACATTAAACTTGGAATTCAACCTTAAAGAAGCCTCTAAAATATTTTAATCGCTGCGGTCTTCAAGTATTAATATATTTTATTTAAATTTATTATATTGTTTTGAAAACTCAACCACTGAACTTATTTCCTGAGGATAAAGTTTAGTTTATCCGTTGGTTGACATTTCTTTCCATTCAACTTTGGACTAGAATTTTTTTTTAGCTAAAGGTAAGATCAAGATGTGATTTGTTTGAGCCCATATATGGAAACTTCATTACTTCATTGTTGACTAGATAACGAAATATCAAAATTTCACTCTGAAATTGGAAAACGTCGAATTTTTTTTTTGGGATGCCCAAAAATTATTAGATTGGTTGTCTGTTCAATTTTGATGTGTTATTTTTCTATATTTTACTGTTTCTGTTCTACATGCCCTTGACTATTATTCAGTCTGAAGTATTAAAATATCTTATAAGAAGCGGTTGTTTTAAGGCATAAATATGGGATGCCTAAAAATTAACCTTTATAACGTTTAATAATTTTTTATACAAAAACCTTTAATCTTCAATCATATTGTTATAAGTATGAGCATGGTTCATCCAAATATTAGAAATTCAAAAATTTTCAACCAACTTAATTTAGTATTCAAAAAAGAAAATCAATAAGTTAAACAAAATATTTTTGTTTATAATGTATAGAAATAAGAATCTTTTTCTTCTATTTTGTCTATATTAAATCTAAATCTAAACAAAGGCTTTAGAAGTTAAGTCTTATTCAATACATTATATATTTGATTAATAAGGTCTTAGAAGTTAATTCTTTTATTCAATACCTTATATGTTTGAATAAAAGGTTGAATTATGAATAAAAAATTAAATTATAGGTTTAGTCTCCAAAATCTTAATTTTAATTTTGTGTCTAATTAGTATTTAATAATTTATTAGACATAAAATTAAAATTTTATTATAAAATTTTATAAGACAATTTTAAAATTAAAAAATACAGGTTCAATACTCAATTAAAAGTCAAATATCTGTAGGGTATTAAAATTAAAATGGGGTTTGATAAATATCTACAACATCTCCCTTTTATCATGCTAAAAAAGCTCAAAGCAAACCCTTACTCTAGTGTGTAGATACTAGAGAAGGTTGCTGACAATTAAAGCGGAGTGTCTGCGATGTGATGTGGTCGTGGTTGAACCACTTGTTTCAGCTGATTTTTTTTCTTTTCCTTTATTTTCTGTCTGGACTCAGCTCCCTTCCCGTTTCCCACAGTGGGCTGGGACCGAATGGCTTTCAATAGGATAGAATCATAGAATAGGTGGGCAGTGAGGAGACAGGCGAGGGTTGTCGAGTTAACGACCACTCAGTACCCCTTATTAAATATTTTCGATGACTACCTCTTCCCACTTAGCTTCCAAAATTCACATTTAGTTAAATCAATGTCGATATCTATTATCCATTTCTTTGGTCGGTAGCCGTATGTTCGCTACTATATAATCGATATCTTACTCATTTTCTTTTATATTTAATCTAACTTTCACATTTAGTATACTAGAAAAACATTATTTAATCAGATATACTATCTTTTTTCTTTATTTTTATTTATTTATTTATTTTTGTATATTTTTTCTATTAATTTACTGGACAGATAGAATGTTAGATGATATGGAAAACTCTTATTTCGAATAAGACCATTGTTGCTCACAATGTGGTTAGAATAGAAGATCACTAATTTCTATATCTCTAGATGTTTCATTAAAAAAATAAATTCAATAGCTAGCGTCCAAATCACAATTTATTTATTTAGTTGAGATATTAAACAAATATTTGATTGAAGTTTTTTTTTTTTTTTTTTTTTGTAAGATTAATGATTAATATTTTTTTAAAATATTAGGTAATGTGTTTAAGAAAATAGTATAATATCAGAACTTAAATAATATGCCTAACCCCCATTTTTTTATGCGACTTTGTATCAAGTTGCTGGGTGGGACAGCGTTGTTCTTATCATTTGAAATTGATCAGTTAGGTACTATTACAAAAAGTCAATCATAAATATAATTGCCATTTTCTCCTTTGTCTTGTCCTTAGCATATGCTTTGGATCTTTTTATCATCTTACCCGTGGTCCATGCATTATCAATTATAATTCTTTACACAAATTATTAGTTCTCATTTTAGAATTAAAGTATCAAATTCTTATGCTTACTTTGCTTTGGTCCTTAAAACCTATTACCTTTTTTCTCGTTTCACTTTTCAATGGTCTATTTCAATTTTTTAACATTGTTTCAATATTACCTTACTCTTTGATTATTTGTCTTGAACTTTATATCTATATTGAAACCCCCATATCATTTACTTCCTTAATTTTATAATATACTTCTTTCAGTCCTTAAGCTAAAATAGTTTTACTCAATTAACTTTTCATTAACTAATTACCATAAATTTAGTTCTATTGTTAACAACCAGGATCTTACTTTCTTAAACACTCTGGTATTCTATTTCAAACGTCACACACACATATATATTGTAGGCACTTTTAGTTTATATCAAATGATGTATCATTGATTTTTAACCCAAAACCTAATTTCCTAAATAATTATAAATTTTAAACAAGTCCAGACTAGTTTCTTTCAAAAAGAACTTAAAAAATTAGTCGAAAAAAGCTAATGAATTTTTCTTTTACAAATATTTTTTTGGTTATTATATATTATTAAAGGGAATGAAAAACAAACCTGAAACAGGAGGGCAGCTCACACCTCAGCGTATGACAAAAACCCCGACGAGCAAGTCCGACCAAGCATAGTCCCTGATGATGTGATTCAGCCTCAAGCTGCTGAAAAGTACTGGGCTCCTCATCCACACACCGGCGTTTTTGGGCCAGAGGCCGAACAGCCTACTGCAGCGGTGGCAACCCGTGCTGCAGATGGTGGCAACCACGCTGCTGTGGAGGAGGAAAAGGCTTGGTTCCGACCAACAAGTCTGGAGGATTCCGAGAAACCCCACGGGTTTTAGGGCCGGCCATAATAAGGCATTGTTGTTCTTCTGGCCATCCGAAAGTAGACAACAAAGTAGCCAACTAAAAAGGTACTAAATAAAGGAGATGGTTGTTTGTGTTTTGCTGTACTAAGGGTTTGGAGTCTTGAGTTACTTGAGGTTGAGGCAATCTGGCTAGGATACTTCGTCTCAGCTTGTTATATGTTATTCTACCAAACTTTATTTTGACTATGATGCTTTAGTGCAGGTTTATAACTATTCCTCAGTTAGAGAAACAACAGATACCTAAGGATTGTTTTGTTACATGTTTTTAAAAATTGTTTATCAAAATTCTTTTACTAAATTGTTTTCTGAATTTAAAAGTCACAGGACAATTTTTTTTTTTTTTTTTTTTTTTGTAAACATTTTGCATATTTTATCTTAAATATGCATTTAAATAAGTTAGATAAATATTATAAAATAATTACAAAAGAGCACCACGGGACGATATTTTGTAAACAGGGCATTCAAAGTAAGTTAAATATAAAAAGAACCAAGTAATAACTATGAGAGTTTGATAGTATACTTGATAGTATCAATCGATAGAGAGTGTGATCAAAAAATTTATTCAGAACTGAGAGTTTGAGCAGAGAAACATTCTTATTCGAATCAGCATTCGATAAACTTAAAAAATGAAGCGAAGCCTTACTCGGCATTATATATAGCTGATAAGACTGCGAACTCAGTAAACATTCTTCAATAAATGCAAAGCAAGTGTTGCAACGTGCATGTGAATAGTAGAAATCGAAACCTGAAATTAGCATTCTGAACGATCAGAGATTCGAAATGATTTGATTTACTTCAAGTGAAAATGAAGCTTCACTTTCTTGTTAGTTCTCCACAGCCGATTCCAAAATCTTTGCAACAGCAGAGAGAGAGCTTACGGAGTTGCTAAAACACGGTTGAACTATGCGGCCGTAACCTGGACGTGCGAAGATAAAAGGCAACAAGGAGACCATACTTCCGGACAATGATTCGATAAACTTGAAAAAGAAAGCGAAGCCTTACATTCTTCTTGAAGTGGATTCCAGAAATTGTGCAACAGCAAAGAGAGGAAGACAGAGCCTACAGAGTTTCTGATAAGGTTGAAGTTCGCCGCCGCCGCAGTCTGGAATGAGGAAGACAAGACCTAGCAGCGGATGATTCCACCGTCCGGTCATTTACCCGCCGCTGCTTCGCTCCCTTTCTCCCTCGAGTTTCCCGCCTATTTATCTATCAATTTTGCCTCCGTTTAAATCCTATATATACTTATTTTCAATTGGGCGAATTGCACAGTCCACCCCTAGACTCTAGTATAATTGCAATTTCACCCTCCACTTTCATATATTTAATAAAAGTTAGGTATTTTTGTTTGGACGCAGTACACCATCATTTATGCTTAATAGAACGACCTCTAAACAGTTGCTCTAACCATTTATTTTCTATCTTCCATCTCGCCTTACTCCTCTGTTAGAGGAACACGACTTCTCCACAATGGTATAATATTGTCCACGTTGAGCATAAACTCTCATGACTTTACTTTGGGCTTCTCAAAAAGCCTAGAGAGTGTATTCTTAGATTATAAACTCATGATCATTCTCTAAATTAACTAATGTGGACACTCTCATCTAACATCCTCTTCAATCTAGCATCAACTTGTCATTCGTTTGTCCTCTCAGTACGTAACTTGTTGTATGCCTTGTGTTAATGATATTTAGTAATAAATTATAGTTTGTCATATATATTATATTTGATATTTTATTATAAGGCAAATATCTAATATTTGCCTTATTATCATAGGTATCTTTCCATTTATTGTTATTTCTATTTATTACTATTTTCATATCCTTTTAATTTATTTGATTATAAATAAGATAACTTTCACACCATTTAGATGTGGTGGATTAATCAAACATTCACACCTTGAATGATTTCATCTCTTCAGTGACCTTGACAAGCTCGACTGGTGCCTTTTCACGTCCAATACGCAGGTATGGTCCTTGGACTTGGGTGGCATTTACAAGCTCCTCACGAGTAGAATTACCTGAAGCCAAAATGATGACACGAACCCTCGAGTACATAAAACGCAGTTAGATAACATTCAACCTAAATCGTAGTTAGTTTATAATTTGTGTATGATTAAGACATGTTCGTGACATTTATTAGTATAGTTTATAATATGTGTATGATTATGGCATGATAGTGAACTACAAATAAAATAAAACAAACTTAACGTCACATCAAAAGTGTTACGAGAAGAGTAATAATAGTTATAAAATAGCATATTGTTTTCATAGGCCCAAAAAATTTCAACCAATTTTGGTGCAGTCAGTAAGCTTAAACGACACCGTCATATTGTCAATATCATACCCAACCAAAAAATTCGACATCATACTATTCCCGATGAGTGCGTCCTTGTCGTCAACGCCCATTGCGTTGAAGCAAAAGGACCCATCCGGAATCTTATTGAAAGTCTGAGCCGTACTCAATCGGAGATCCACACGGCCATCGAAGTGAAAAGTCATCACCAAATTCCCTAAATTACCTTTGTAGCAAAGAGTATCGTCAATGGGCTTCGACGGGATATGTCGCCGAACTTCAGCAACCAATCGTCCGTACAATTCTTTGGGAAGGAGAGTCGGTGGCGTGCCGGTATCGAGAACTGCGTTCCCCTTGGCCGGAGGTCCCGACGTACTGTACGGAACGAAGGTTTTTCCGACGGAGATTCCCTTGAGGGTGAGAGAGTAAGATGTCTGGTCGGATGTTCGAACGAGTTGGGCTGTGATGACTCCAAGTCCTTTAACTTCAGAACCCGACCCAATAGAGAGGCTACTTGAGATTCTCAGGTCGGTGTTGTATGGCATCAGACAATGGGAGAACTTTCTGCCGCCGACCAAAGGACCTATATGTGAATATGAATTTACATTAACTATAAGGTTTTGAACTTTATAGTTATTTAAATAAGGATATAATTAACTGTAAGTTTCAATATTTAATACGATTAATGTTTTTAAAAATAATAATAATAATTGAAAGTGATAATATATATATATATATACGTGAGAAACGAAGGAAACCGCCCCTCTTCTGAATCAGATCAATCCCATTTCATTCAGATTAAACGTTCCAATATTATTATGTCCGCAACCAAACACCACACCTAGAAACGGCGTCGTCGCTCCAGACCTCGAAGTTACAACCATTTTTTCAGTCGCCAATTCTCCCTGCGTAGATCCGCTTCCATACCCATAGTCGTACTTACAGGTGTCGGTGCCGGAGCACGCCGCACCGGACCCCCTCAAATGGCACTGCGGCGACTTGCAAGAAAGGGTTTGAAAGGTTGACGATTTCGAAGGGTCGTAAATTGGATTTGTTTGCTGATAACATTTCGCACATGGACGACACTGAGCCCAAAATAAATCGCTGTCAGTGTCGAGGATTGCATGCACCTCCGTCGGCGGCGATTTTCACTATAAATTCGCTGGTTTCCGGCCAAATTTGTGATTTGGCTACCATAGGTGAAACGTTGCCGGGTGAGAGACGGTGGCGGATGAGTTCCAGCTTGAGACCACCGCCTTCGCTGGCGGTGGACTCGGCGTTGGAAAGTAGTGCGAGAAGGAGAAATATAATATGCGCCATGGGAGATGAAGAAATAATTGCATGGATTTTAAATTTCTTTTTATTTATATAGATAATGACGTGACAGAATGGCCGTGCTTTGGTAACGTTCACTGTTTTTTTAATATAAACATAGAATGTTATTTAAGTATTTATTTAGTTATTTCTATTTACTCATTTTCATATTTCCAACCATTTATTAAATTTAGTTTTAATCTAACTAAGGTAAACAAAAATATTTAATTATAATTATAAGTATATTTTTAAGTCTATTTTAATAAATATCGTTTTATGTAAACTTTTAAAATTAACTTATTTATGTATGGTAATTTTAAAAAAAATTAGTATTTGACTACAAATAAATGTAAGATTATTTAAAAGTAAAATCTTTTATTTAATTTAAGTAATTAAATAAATTTAAGGTATTGTTCCATATTTAATTAAAAATTTATATACATTTACTTATTTTATTATTTATAAATTAAAATTTCATAATGTAATGAAAAATATTTAACTATAAGAATATTTATAGTTCTATTATAATAATTATCTTGGAATTAATGAATTAAATAAAATTATTTTCAATTTTTAAACAAAAATTCATATCAAACTCTATTTTAAAACAGAGAGTACCTTCAAGATAGCATGCATGTTTATGTACTACATAAGAATCCAAATGGTTACTTATATGGTTCGCATGCCTTTCCAATTTCCAAATTTCCAAACTCATGTTTTTTTCCAAATTTCCAAACTCATGTTTTTTTGGCGGAAAGGATTCTAAAAAGTATGGAATTTCCTTGACATGTCCTAATTCACATAATAATAGGTCATTATATCGGAGCATCAGTTCAGTTCATGCACTACCGGGTCGCAGGAAGAGCGTTTATTTGGTATCCTATTAATAGGCTTATAATTTGAAAGCATTTATTCATTTATACAAAATATCCCTTTAATATCAGTATACTATTCATAGGCTTATAATTTGCTATACTTATTTGAAATAGTTTATCACAAATGGATCTCATCCCAATTATCAAACCAAAAGAAGATATTGCAAGGCCATTTGAATGCAATAAAGCACAAATAAAAAAGTAACGATAGTACAAGACCAAAACCAAGGCCAATAACCGTAACATCCATGACCTCAAGACCTTTAATCTACCAAATTAAGTCCAGAAGATGTGACAAATCCAAAATATGGAAGAAAAACACCAAAATTAGGAAAATAGAACGACCTCTAAACTGTTGCTCTAGCAATCTATTTTTTCTCTTCCTTCTCGGCCTCTGCTGCCCTCTTCAATCTAGCACCAACGTGTCGTTCGTTTGTCCTCTCAATACGTAGCTTGTCGTATGCCTTGAATGATTTCATCTCTTCAGTGACCTTGACGATCTCGACCGGTGCCTTTTCACGTCCAATAGGCAGGTACGGTCCTTGGACTTGGGTGGCATTTGCAAGCTCCTCAGGAGTAGAATCACCAGCCTGAAGACAAAATGGTGTCATGAACCCTCGAGTACATAAAACGCAGTTGATAACATTCAACCCAAGTCTTATTATTTTAGTAAACTGACCTTGAATTTGCGGGCACGTCTTGGGAAGACGACCACCTTAGCCTTGTATGTCTTCAGCCT